CCCCCCCCGCCCCAACACACACACACCCTCTCTAGACAGATCCATTCTATGCAGGCAGTAAGCTCCTAGCAGGAGCCTTCATGAAGGCTCAGTACCATCCAAAAAAAGTAAGCTCTACAGTTTCATATGAGATAAACAATATCAAGCTAAAAGATAGTTCCTTAATCTCTATGACAATAAGATAAAAGAATATTGCACATCTGTCATCTCCCATAAATGAGAATGGATTTTAATGAAATGTGAATCTACTCAGTTTTAATGGAAGCAAATACTTAAGATATATGGCTCCAATTCTGGCCCTAAGCAGAGAGAATAATTGTAAATATTAGTCATCTTGTACTAGGCACTAGGCTAAGTTTTTGTTTTTTATAGAAAGGCTGATTGCCTTCAAATCCTAGCCTCCTCGCAACTGGACTATGTGAACTGAGGACAATTACTTAACCTCACCATGCCTTAGTCTTCTTGTCTGAGAGTAACAATAATACCCACCATTAATAGTGCTGTTACCGGACTCAGAAATGTTTGTATCTGAGAACACAGAAAATTGTCACTTCATAGGAAATAACCACATTAGCTGGGTGGGCAGTTCATCTGCTCAGCACTGAAGAGAGGAGTGTTTTCCTCCTCCCAGAGGACTGAGAAAGTGAAGCTTCAAAGGAAAAGGTGAGTTATTCAGGATCCTGCAGCAAGTAACTGCAGAGCTGAGCTCCCAATGCCCAGATGTGACTGACTCCACAGCCAAAGTACTTCACCTCTACCCAGAGGCCTGCCTGCAGCTCAAGCGTGAGCACAAGCAAGAACATGAACGCAGTACCAGTCCTTCTCCAAGGCTTCGCTGCACCATGGTCCTAGGGATCCTGCCAGGTCCACTTTAATTTTCCCATCTTTTCCTCACTCCATACATTGTAGCTCATCAAGATGTTCTCTGCTGCCCAGCTTCTACCAGGCAGCCCCGCCCTTTGCCTATGTTGCTGCCCCAGGCCTTGGCTTGGCCTCTCTGCCCAGATGAGAGCTTGTCTGGAGAATGCAGGCTTTTTCCACAAGGCTCCTGGCCTAGAGGCCCTGGATTTATTTTCAGCATCTGCAGCTGCCTTCTCAGACATCCCCTGTTCCTTTGGTACGCTGATCTGTGGCTCTCCTCTGGGAATACCTAAGCCTTGGCTACCAGAGATCAAGGAACAGGAATCCCCTCCATATGGAGATTGATACCCAAAGATGAGCAGAAAAAGTGCCACACCTAGATTCTACACATCTACACCCTCTCACCTCATTCCTGGGGGGAAATGCCCAGCCAAGCTGAAGCCTCCACTCTTCATTTTCATCCTAACCTAGTGGCAAAAATAAGGACATGACCAGGTCATTCCTGGTTACTCACAGGGAACAGAGATTTAGTACGACCCTTTCTCCAAAGGGATCTGACAGATGACTACAAAGCCAGGGCTCCTGGAGTTTCAGAATGTGTAGGACCGTGGTCCAAGTTGGCATTGTGGGTTTGAGCATCTTGCAAATCAGACCACATGGAGTACTGGAGTTTTCCTGGGAAGAAGGGTGTGAGTTCATGTTTTTGTCATAGAGAATACTGTGATCAATATCCCATGTCAATAATTTTGTTTCCTAGGATCCTAACACTGTATGGGTGTTCAAATCTAGATTTTATCATGATCTGCTTTAAGTAAGACAATTGGAATGTAATTAAGAGAAGGCAGGATCAAACTTATTTGCTGCTAGTAAGAAAAATTGAGAATAGTATTTTTAAACAGCATTACTTTTAACATGTGTTGAATTTTTTAGATACTGTGGTTGTGCTATGGGCTCTACATACATTATTTTTCTCAGTCCTGTTGAAGAAAGTACTGTTGTTAACCCCATTTTATAGATGGGAGCACAGGAAGATAGGTCAACAGTGGCAACGTCTGTGGTTTAGCTGGGAGAACTTCCATTTATCCACTCTGCACACAAGCCTCCACGATACCCTTCCTAGGATGATAGGGAGTCAGAAGAGCCCTTTGCCTTCTACTGTATCCAGAGCTATCTGAGTCTCTTCTTTATATAGTGAAGCCATGGCTGGTTTTCAATGTCTCAAATTCATACTTCAAACCCAGGGCTGGCTAAATCTAAAATTTCATCCATTCCACATTCTCAGTTATTTAATTCCAAAGCGGTCCCTTGCCCTAAGCCTGGCTTCACTTAAATATTTCCTCTTCACAAGCAGATACATCTGAAAGGTTCCCTGTCCACATACACAAAATCCTTGTCTCCATGCTCAGCTCTTTCTTTCTCTTTGGTGATGACCAATAAATGGGTGTGTGGAGAGTTGAAGGCCAGTTTGCATGTCCTGCAAGATCGTATTCTGCTACCACTGGGAGCATTTCCATCCCAGATGGGCTTACACACACCAAGATTCACCTAAGTTGCATCTGGAAAACACACAGTGTATGTATAGTTAGGTCCCAGTAACATGTCAGGTTTTCCATATCTTTGAAACTATTGCTCTCTTTCATGCCCTATAATTTCACAGTATGGCACAAGTGAGGAACTCTTAAGTTTATCCAGTGAAGCCCAAGTAGGAATTAGATATAAAAGGATCCTTATATATAATTAAGTCTCTGGTCCTGATTGGCCAGAACTAGACCTGCCATACCAAGTCCCTTGGACTGAGTTTACATTTAAAGAGGGTCTTATCTAAGCACTGTTGACCACAGCACAGCATCTGCC